CCCCCCTACCCCCCATACCTTGACAGCATACGCTGTTGCATCTACATGATATGCAAAAATGCGTAAAGAATGAATATTCGTGCGTAATTTGTAAATATTAACGATCTAACAAGTAAAAATTATAAGGCGATACTGCCACGTAAATACAAACCTGCAGCATTTCTCCGTGTTTTTCCTCGATTCTTCCTGGATTGCGGAAAAAATAACACTTCATTCTCCACAACAGTACAATTTTCTACGAATATAGCTCTGAAAATGCAAATAGACAGTGACAGGCACTAAGACAGATGGCGTAGCAATCATACGCCCTGTGCAACTCAGTTCAACGAACGCCTGTTCAATCTCACTCAGCGGGTGCTTGTGCAACTCTGCCCTAGGGAACCTGGCTATTAGAAGTATTCATTGCTTTACAGTTTCTATGCATTTCTGGTTTCTCCCGAGTTACTAATTTTTGCATCAAAACTTGCAAGCGTCCATGCGTGAAACTGAAGCATACGAAGGGGGTGACCTTAAATCGGTGAAGTCATATGCAAGAAAAGAACGTTTTCCTAAAATTGCAGCCTCCTAGCTTCTGTGTTTCTGGAGTTCTTAATTCAGGCACAAAAACTTTCATGTACCCGTGTGTGAGACCCGGAGATACGCGAACAATGAATTTGTATTTGCGAGATCACACTTGGATTTGTGAGATCAGGGGAGTTCCCCTCCCGTCAAAATTTCAGCTTTCTAGCTTCTCTGGTTTTCAGTAAAACGCACTCGGGACACACATACGCACATACACACGCGCATAAGGTCGCGGCAATATGCGTTTTGTGCAACTGTTGCAGCATGCATAAAAATTACCAATCAAAATGCATAAAAATTCCCGAGGGAATTTGATGATTGCTACAATGACCAGCACAACGAATTTTTGCACGAAAAACGAGTCTGACAAAATCCTCATGGCCGCTTATGACAGTAATTTCAGCAAAACACCGCTTTGTACTGATAACGTTTACTTCCCAGCCTTAATTCTAGGAAGGTTACCAAGACCTCTCGCCCCCCTCCCCAAAAAAAAAAAAA